CCTACAGTCATTACTATTGATGGATGTCATGCTGTCCCCAACATATGCATGTCACCCCATCCTACAGTCACGTTCATAGATGTCACCCTGTCCCCATGTCACTGTGTATGGGTGTCACCCCATCCCACAGTCACTATGATGCATGGAAGTCACCCTGTCCCCACTGTCACTACATGGGCATCATCCTGTCCCCACCTGCACAGATCCACCTGTCCCTGTGGTCACTACACACACAAGGTCACCACCCCACCCCATGGTCACCCCATACACAGTGGTGTCACTCGCTATGCACACCCCATCCCCTGTCTGTACACCTTGTCCCTGTGAGGACAGCATCTGTGTGAGTTTCACCTTGTCCCCATACACACAGATGTCACTGTATCCCCATGGTCACCACACACACATGGACACCACCTCATTCCCACGGTCACCACATATACACAGGTATCACTTTGTCCCCAGGGTCCCAGCAGGGCCTCATTTTATCCCCAGGGTCTTAGCACATCCCTGGGTATTACCCGGTTCTCATGGTCACCACATGCACATGGGCTCCCGTGGTCAGGACAGACACAAGAACATCACCTTGTCCCCAGGGTCCTGGCACTCACCTGGACAGGCACATCACCCTGTTCCTATGGCCACCACATTCACATGGGTCTCATGCTGTCCCCATGGCCACTACCTAAACACGGATACCACCTCACCCCCAGGATCCCTGCACTCACATGGACATCACTTTGTCCCCGTGGTTGTTACATAGACACGAGTGTCCCCTTGTCCTCATGGATGCAGATATATGGGCACCAATTTGTCCCCAGGGTCCCTGCACTCACAAGGACATCACGCTGTGTCATAAACCACAGATCATAAAACCATGACACGCAGCCCCCGTGGTCTCTGCACATCTACGGACGTCGTCCTGTCCCCACAGCCATGACATTTGCTTTGTCCTCGTGATCTCTACAGATACACAGACATCACCTTGTCCCCAGGGTCCCAGCACTCATCTGGACATAGAATGGTTTGGTTTGGATGGGACCCTTAAGATCATCTA